GGGCTGTGCTAGACCAGGCTATGGGGCTGTGCTAGACCAGGCTATGGTGCAGGACTGTGCGAGGCAAGGCTGTGAGACTGTGGACAGGATTTACTTTGCTACTTTTCTTCATTGTTTTTAAACCTTTTTAAAAATTTGTTTATTTACTATATATACAGTGTTCTGCCTGCATTCCAGAAGAGAACACCACCAGATCTCATCTAGGTGGTTGTGAATCACCATGTGGTTGCTGAGAATTGAACTCAGAACCTCTGGAAGAGCAGTCAGTGCTCTTTAAACCCTGAGCCATCTCTCCAGACCCCAAAATTACCTCTTTCAATCCCTCACACTATGCTCAAAGTTGTTATGGGAGAGACTGGGCCAGGTGGCAGAATCAGGGCCAGGCAGAGAAGACCAGGAACTTACTCTTACCTGGAGCCTGCGACTTCCTAATGCTATCCTTGCCAGCCAGTCAGCTCCACCCAGTCCTTCCAGCTTGCTCTTTGGAAAAAGCTCTGCCTGCATGCCCTTAGGGGCCAGTGGTGAGAGGAAGGCAGGAGAGCCCACTGCAGGGCACAGGCCCCAGCAGAGAAAAGGTTTTGCCAAGACAAGGCAAAGTCAAGCTAGGAGTGGAAGCTCAGCCCAATAATCTCATCAGGGTTGGAGGGGGAGGCAGCTGAGGCAGGAGGATTGCTGTGAGTTCCAGGCCAGCCTGAAATTTTAGGGTAGACCTTGTCTCAAGAGGGAAAAAGAAAGGTAAAAGCAGGCACATGGGTAAGCAGGCAAACAGAAGGGGCCAGAGGAACATGAGGAACTTGGGTAGCCCTCGGGGTGGGGCACAGAGGTGGCTAACACGGAGGAGGCTAGCAGAGGAGGTTAGGTAGAGGGTACTGGAGGGAACCCTTCTGGAGTTGGTGGTCACCTGGGAGATTAATAATGCCATCAGGAAGATGGCATTGAGGCTGGGGTCGGGGAGAAAAAAGAAAGTGGTTGATATCTGAGCTGGATTTAGATTTTCAGGGCTCCTGATCCACCAGGCATGGGAAGGGAGACCCGTTTCTCATGTCTACTGGGCTCCTGGCCTGGGAATTCCCATATCATCTATGTGGGTACTAAACTGGAGAGAAAGGGGCTCTCTAGGCAATCTGGGACAGGCATTAGACACCATGGAGGGGCTTCTGGGCCAGGCTTGGCTCCAGACCTCTCTCTCTTGCTCCATCATCCGGAGCTGAGGGTTCCTTCCCTCCGGGGGTACCACACCAGCACACAGGAAAACCTGCACCACCTCTACCCTATGATCATCCGACCATCCAGCTGTGGGGCTAGGGCCCACTCTGACTAACACGCTTGCATCTGAGTGATGTCCTCAATGCTGTCTGCTTGGCTCAGGTCATGGGTGCCTCCTCTGCTCTGGGCTCTCAGATATTCCTTCCTCTGGAGCTTAGATGCTAGCCTCCCATGGGGACCGGGCTTCCCTCAGCTCTTCTCTCTGTTCCTTCCTGAGACAATCTGGAGCAAAGGATCCTAGAAGTACTAAGTGAAGTTGGTGGCTCTGTGAAGATTGGCCAGCTGGTAAAGAAGTGCCAAGCGCCCAAGAAAATACTCAACTCGATCCTTTACCGCCTGAAGAAGGAGGGCAAAGTATCCTCCACAGCTGCTGCAACCTGGTGCTTAGGTGGGAGCGCTTCTGCAGATGAGGTTCCCGCAGTCCCCGAGGACCCCACCGCTCAGCCAAGCCTCGGTAATCTGTCATTTAGGGGCAGAGTGGACACCCTCAAGAGCCATCTTGGCAATGGGCAAGTTCAGGTTCAGGCTTGGTTTCAAATCTGAGCTCTGCCCTCCTCTGTCTCTTGATTCCTTCTGGTCAGTGGAGCTAATGCAGAGCCTAGGGCCTGCACACAGTAGGTGTACAATAGACAGCAGAGACAGTAAAGACACAGTCCAGGCAAAAGTCACAGCGACAGTGAGTAGGGAGGTAGGGATTCACTCAGAGTCCTCGGGTGACTTTGACAGTCACTGAGCAGAGGGCCCACAGTTCCAAATGCTGATACTGTACCCAAGGCCACCTTGCCTTCAGTAACTCCCACAGCTGGAGACAAAAGGAAGCAGCCTCAAGACCCCACCCTTCGGCAGCCAGCGGCTGTGACCCAAGCAGACGGGCAACCCTGGGACCCCTAAAGTACTGTCCCCTAGTTTTCCGGTGGAAGTATTCCCGGGACTCAGTGGAGCAGAGTGTCTCCTGCCCCCAATGGACACATCTTTCGTCGTCCAGCCCCAAGATGTAGGCACAGCTCCAGAGAGTCCTGGCCTTCAGCTCAGTGTACACCATAGGCCTCCCCAAACCATTCTAAGGGGCACAAGGGGAATTTGGGGTCACATCCACCACAGCGGCTCCACAAGCATCTCAGAGGCCAGACTCACTGTTAGAAGCCAAAGGCTCTAAATGGCCAAGAAGTGGTTTCTCCTCCAGGTGCTGATATGCCTGAGCCAGCCACTAGGGTGAGAGCCTCATTCACGTATCTGGTCTCCAGATGACCACTGTATCACCATGTGCCTCTGACAAAACAGGACTATGCCCCTGGGCTTCATACGTGTCCCAGACTACAGCCAACGGGTGGTGGACCCTTGCAAGCCCAGGGCCCTCGCCCTACTAACGCCTGCCTATTACCTTTGCAGAGGATAGAATCTTCAGATTCCTGGAGGCCAATGGACCTTGCAGGGCCCTGCATATCGCCAAGGCTCTGGGCATGAATACGGCCAAAGAGGTGAACCCAGACCTGTACAAGATGAGAAGCAGGCACCTTCTGAGCTATAACGGGCAGGCATGGATGATCTATGACTCCAGTCAGAAAGGTCAACGGCTAGGTATAAGAGGTCAAACTTGGTTGGGGGGGGTCAGGGGTCACGGGTGGATGGTCTAGGGACAGGTTGGAGAGTTCAAAGTTCAGGTCAGAAAGGTTAAGGATCAAGACCGGATCATCTGGGGTCAGGTTGAAAATGTCAAGGGTAAGGATTAGATGGTTTAGGGTCAGATTGTTTCGTTTTGCTTTTAGATGTATGTCTTTTATTTTACGTGTTATGAGTGTTTGCCTGCATGTACGTATACTCACCACATGCATGAAGTGCCTGCAGAGGCCAGAAGAGGAAACTGGATCTCCTGGCTGGATTTGGAGTGGCAGATGGTTGTGAGCTGCCATGTGGGTACGGAGTGCTGCACCCTCTGGGAGAGCAGCCAATGCTCTAACCACTTGGCAATCTCTCCCTTAGGGTCAGATTTTATTGATACTCTTTTGGGAGGTGTTTCAGGAGGCAGAGATGGTTGCAGGCTTAAGGAGGGAAGGCCACCCAGCTGTTGGCCTTGGCAGGCGTAGGCCTGCCTGCCTCACTCCCGGTACCCATAGGGCTTCCGGCTACTGGGGGAAGAGTGACAGCGAGGATGGCACCTGGATTTAAAGCACGGGGACACCTGGTTAATAAAGTCAACGGGACCCAAAACATATGAGGTTTCTTCTAGTCACTGCTGAGGGGATAGGAGCCTGGAGTTCAGTGGAGATGGCTCTGCGGGGTTCTGAAGGGTGCAGATGCAGAAAGTCTAGAGGGAGGGACACAGGGTCAGCCTGGATTTGGGAACGACTCTCTGTGGGCTCTTCACCCAGGTATGACAATGCATGGCTCTTAGCCCAGCACTAAGGAGGCAGAGGGAAGAGAGTTATGAGTTCAAGGCTAGTCTGAGCTACAATAAATAAATAAGAATAAAACCATACAAAACCCAATTGATAACTAAGTGAATAAAGTGGTTAGTGTTTGCTGGGCTGGGCTGAACTGGGCTGGGCTGGGCTGGTGGAAGCCTGGAGGCCCCCAGCAACCCTTCCGTAGGTAGAGTGGTGATGATTCTGAGCCCTACTGCTCTCAGGGACCCCCAGAATGTTCTTTTTAAATGTTTTTTTTTTCTTGAGAAGATAGTCTTACTATGTAACCCAGGCTATCCTGGAACTCACCATGTAGACTAAGCTGGCCTCAGACCCACAGAGGTATGCTTACCAAATTCTGGGATTAAATGGCAAAATGTCTTTTAAAGCCAGATGAAGAAATGCATATCTAAAATGTCCCAAGTGTGCTTGTCTTTACATAAACATGGATAGAGAATATAGTTTATTTTTTTTCTTTCTTTGATGAGACAATTCCGTGCACCTGAAATGCCCTTGAGCTCCTGACCTTCCTGCTTCCATCTCCCAAGTGCTGGGGTTACAGGTGTCTGTCACCATGCTTGGCTACTTTCATTTATGAAGGGAGGAATTCGGAGAGGCTCACAATCCTCCCACCTGAGCAGACATGCGGAGCACACAGAACTGGACTCTGGCTGGGCTTGACTGGTGTGGGCCTGTCTCTCTCTCTTATCTGGTTCTCAGCTATTGGAAGAAGAGTGAAGCATAGGTGGCAGCCGGATTTTAAACACAGGGACATATCTAAGTCTTTAATAATGTCACCAGAACCCAACAAGTCACATGAGGCCGCTTCCGGCCATTGCTGAATTGAGTGGAGCCTGGGGCTCAGCACCGAGGGCTCTGGAGGGCTCTGGTAGCAGGGGCAGGACAGGGAGAGAATGGGAGTATCCATCGTCCTCCCAGTGAGCCACTGTGGCTAGGACACACAGGTAAGGCACCAGTTTCAGCGATTTCAGGAGAGGGTCCGTCTGAGGTACCACGGTGTCCATCAAGCACAGGGAAGGAAGGCTGTGGCCAGCTCCAGGTAGCTCCTGAGTCTTACGTTGCACCCTCTTTCTTGGGCCCCCAGGATGGGGTCTGGACTCGAAGGTTAGTGCTGTTGATACAAGAGCCCCTATATCCTTGAAACAAAGGAACTCAATGGAATATCATTCTCTAGTTGATTCTGGAATGAGACAAGAGCGCGCTGCGATCATTTACCAGCAGAATCCCATCAACATGATCTGCCAACAAGGAGCCAACAACCATATCTCCATCTCTGAGTCAGAAGCCATCCAGATCGGGCATGGGAACACCATGCTGCGGCAGATAGCCTGTACTCAGAGAGGTAAGAGGAGGGGTCTGGCTGGGGCACCTGTTGTGTCCAAGACAGGGAAGAAAGTGAGGAAGGAGTACAGGGCCTCAGGCCTGGCTCTTCTCAGAAGCCTGGAGCACACCTCACCTGGAATCCCTTTGTTTTCCTTCTGTGTGTGAGAGAGAACAATCCAGCTCCCCCCTCCCTCGCTCTCAGCAGGACGGGGTGGGAGGGGAACTGCCATTCTCTCTCTCAAATAGCTGCCATGAAAAGATGGGATCCTTGTGCACTCGCTGGCTTCCTCTCTCTCTCTCTCTCTCTCTCTCTCTCTCTCTCTCTCTCTCTCTGTGCGTGTGTGTGTGTGTGTGTGTGTTTACTGAAGTCTACTCAGAATCAGAGAAGGACAGCAGGTGTCCTGTTCTGTCACTCCCAACCTTACTCCCCCCAGAGAGGTGCCACACAGAACCTGGAGCCAGCCTTGCAGCCAGTAAGCCCCAGCGACCCCGTCTGTGTCACCCAGCATGAGGGGTGCAGGTCCACGTGCCCACGCCTGGCTTACTATGTGGCTGCTCAGATCCACACTCAGGTCCTATGTTTGCACAGCAACGCTTTTACCTACGACCCCCCAGCCTTAGCATCCTGGTTTTGATGAAGGTTGGAGCTGTCCGGCGAATGTTTCCTCTGTAATAGGCTTTGTGTCTTAGAGGGTGTGGGGCCACGAACGAGAGCATCAGCTCCCAATCTAGATTCTCTCTATGCACCAATCCTTGGGAGAAGTCTGCACTGCCCTAGGCCTCAGTTTCCCCTGCCATGACTCTCCTGGTTCTGACAGCCATTCTGTCTATTTTACTTACGATGGGGAGTAGTTCACCATATTTTTTTTAACTCAAATGTGTTTAAAAGCTTTTGCCTTTCTTTAATTTGAAAACCATAACAATGAGTCTGAAGTTGTGCACCAGGAGTAAAAAACGAGGGTGAAGGCCCGAACTGTCTTGTCAAGAGGCATGGAAGACTCATTCCCACACAGGGGACTTTCTTTTGATGGGGGTCAAAGGTTGTGCAGAGCCAGGAGGCAGGTGACATGTGCTCCCTGGATCTGCAAGAACCCCAACAGTACCCTGAGCCCAGCTGCCAACCACCCAGCTCCAGCTGCCTCCGGGTTCCCCAGCCTCGAGACAGAACAATCTGGAATTAGTCTCTAGCAAATTCAATGTTCTGCCCTTCCCAGGTCCCAGCCCCCAGCATCCTCTCCTGCTACCCGCTCCAGATGACCCCTCTTCTCAGAACACCCCACCTGGTGCCTGGGGAGCTCAGCACATCCACATGGAGAAGTCCTTGCTCCGCCGTGTGCAGCTGGGTCACGGCAATGAGATGAGCCTCCCGAGGGACCCGGTGCAGCACCCTGCAGAGGAACACCCTGCTGGTAGCTTTACTGGCAGTCCCCCAGGTAGCATGGCCTCCCCCACCCTACATACCCAGAAAGGACCTGAAGCCAGTCTCTGTGAGAAGAGAAGCATGATGGGAAATTCATTCCACCCCGACCCATGGGAGGGGTACCGCTGAACAGCGTGTTGAACTTTGTGGTCTGGCCCTAGGGTTCCCCAGTCTCCCAGCAGCACCAATGAGCAGCAAACCTCAGTCACCACTGCGGAGAGGAGGCTGAGAGGGAGGAAGCAAGGTCACGGTGGGGGCGGGCAGGCTAAATCCTGCGTGGTGGCCTGAGGAAGGGGAGGGGAGGCCATCAGTGTAGGTGGCACAGTGACCAGAGGACCTGGCCAGAGGCCTGCCGAGATGATCAGCGGTCGGGACCAACAGAGCGACAGAGGAGTGTCTCCATAGAGAACTGGTCCGTGAAGCAGGGCGCGGCAGCGGGGGCAGCAAAGAGCTCTGCCTTGGTGACAGTTTGTGAGAGTGAAGGGAGTCTAGAGTAGGAGATGAGGAAGCTGAGCACGGGCGTTTCCTGACTTTTGAGTGTAAAAGTGAAGAGGAGATGTCAGGGTCCAGTAGATGCTGAGGTGAGCCCAGGAAAGAAATGAACCACAGTGGGACAGCATGTCCTTGATGGCCACCTGGGAACTGGCCGCAGACAAGAAGGAGGGTTCTGGAGGCCTAGAAGATGCCGAGACCGGAGTGGTTTTGCTGAGCTCAGGGATGAGGCAGGGGCGGGGTGGAGGGGGCAGTTGCAGGCCACTGAGGATGTGTGCCAGGACGTGGAGGTGGTGGCTAGGCAAAGGTTATGAACCAGGTCGGCAAGATCACTGGTGAGAGCAGCCAGGTCCCTGTGCAATTCTCCCTTCTTTCGCTTTCTCTCTTTGGTTTGCTTGCAGTCTCGGCTACCTCTGCTGACGCAGGAACTTCCTTCCACATGCAAACACCCGAGCCAGGCCCTCACCCTGAGGGGGGCACCGCCCAGAAAGTCCACATCAAATCCTCCTGGCTGGAGGATGCCACCATCGGCAACAGCAACAAGATGACCATCCGCATTGCTTCACAGGGTGGAGCTGGGGAGTCTGGAAACAGCGAGGAGCCAAAGGGAGACACAGGTGAGCCTGGGCACAGGAGGAGTCTGCCTGAGTGCCCACTTCCCACACTCATCCTGCAATCAGCCATCAGGCAATGGCCTGCAGCAGACAGTGGTCTGGGACTCAGCGAGCGGACCAAAAGCCAGCATGCAGCTCCGGGCTTCAGGGAGGATGCAGGCATTTATACCAAGGTGATGCGGAGCCGCAGAAGGGTTTTGGGCAGGACAGAAGCAGAGAATTCAGGAATTTGGAGTAAGAGAATCATACATAACCAGTCCCATGGATGACTGGATATCAAGTGGAGCCTCCCCACCCCCAGTCCCAGTGGTGGAATGCCGTACGGTTCACACAGTGAGAACAGACCATAGCTGTGGGCCACAGTCAGGAGTCCTCCAGGCCCAGGCGAGGAGCCCTTTAGGATGGGTAAGTCATGGCTGCTCCCAGAGAGGAGAGGCATAAGTCCTGCAGTCAGGAGGCTTTGTGAGAGAGCTGAGACAGGGAAGCAGCAGGGACAGAGGCGTGGAGAAGGCACAGGCAAGCGACCTGCCAACAAACACAGTCCTGGGGAGGAGCTTGCAGGTGTAGAGATGGCAGGTGCCAAGGTCCTGAGGTGGGAAGTGGGAGCAGCACAAGGGACAGTCGTCAGGGAAACAGAAGGACTGACACCCAGGAGCCCAAAGCCTTAGTGGGTGCCTGCTGGGTCTCTCAGAGCCTGAAGGTGTGAGCAAAGTTGTCTTATTTGAGATAAACTGAGGAGACCTGGAGAATGTGGACAGAGGCATGGGATGTAGTCTCTAAATGTCCCTGGGCCAGCGAGGTGGCTCAATGGGTAAAGGCATTTGCTGCCAAGTCTGATGCCCAGGACCCACACGGTTGAAGGAGAGAACCAATTTCTGCTCATTGTCATCTGACCCACTCACATCCCCACACATACACTAAATTAATTAACTAATTAAATGTGGGGAGTGGGGAAGCTTAAGTCTCCCTGTGTTGCAAGGATCAGCTTGTTCGTCCCGGCTGCTCAGACCCGAAATAATCACACAGAAACTGTATTAATTAAATCCCTGCTTGGCCTATTAGCTCTAACTTCTTATTGGCTAACTCTTACATATTAATTTAACCCATCTCTATTAATCTGTATATCACCACGAGGTCGTGGCCTACCAGCAAAGTTTCAGCACATCAATCTTCGGCGGCAGATCCATGGCCATCCCCCTAACTCTGTCCTTCTTTCTCCCAGCATTCAGTCCAGTCCTCCCCACCTACCTGAATTCTGCCCTATCAATAGGCCAAGGCAGTTTTATTAATGGTAATCACAGCACACAGAGTAGACTCCCACATCATCCCTGAGTACCATTTGGGAACAAAACCAAGGAGCACATGGGCGATGCAGAAACCCACCACAACAGTTGTGAGCATACTCTCCAGAGGAGCCCACAGGATGCCTACAACCCCTGAGACCTCACTTGCCCCTTCACTGTCTGTTTCTCGCCTTCCTCCAGACTCGAGTTCTAAAGCCTCACCATACGGAAGCTGCTCCCACACCCCCAGCAGCTCCACGCTGCTCGCTCCTGAGCTGAGAACCATGACTCTGGGAGACAGCAGCCCCCAGACCACAGAACCTGTGCTTACGGAGGAGGAGGACGGAGCCCCCGATACAGAGGATCGTAAGACTCAGGAATGAGGTAAGAGCAGAGGAGTGGAGAAGGCACGGTCAAGTGTCCTTTGAGGGACTTCTTGTAGCCACACACAGGGCTCAGACTAGATTGTGTGTGTGTGTGATTTGGATGGGATACCCTCCCTGAAAAGGCCCAAGTATTGACAGCTTGGTCCGGGACTGGGACTATGAAGTGGCAGGATTCTGGGGGCCCTGAGATCACCCACACACCAGTCTCTAGAAGGATTTGCTGCTGATGACATCATTGGGATGGAGTAGAGACTTTGGGAGAATGAAGGAAAGGAGACAGTCAAGACATCAGGGTCTCATGTAGTTCAGACTGGCTTTGAGTCACTATGTAGCCAAGGATGACCCTGAACTTCTGATCTGTTGACCTCCACTTCCTGAGAGCGGGTGGGTACCACCACGTCCAGTTCATGGGATGCTAAGGACGGAATTCCGGTCATGCTACACAAGTGTTCACCAGCCCAGCAGCAGCCCTAGCCTGGGCCATGCCTCCTCTAGTCTCTCTATTTATCTCTTTTCCTGCCTGCCCTAAGGTGATCACCCCTCCTCTGCCATGCCTTCTGCCTTTCCACAGGCCAGAAAGCAATGGAGTCATGGGACCCTGAGCTGACACCTCTGCCACTATGAGCCAAACCAGCCTTTCCTGCCTCAAGATCAATCATATGAGCCAGTTCGACCAGTCCTGGGTGTTCACCAGAAGAGACAAGTCAACACAGCACACAGATAGCTGCACATTCCTGTTGACTGTGCTCTGTCTGCAGCAGCTGGAAATGAAACCAACCTTGCTGTCATCAATAGAGGGTGGATTAAGGAAATTCAGAGTATGCATACAGCCATATAAAATAATGAGGCTGTGTCATTTGCTGGAAAGTGAATGCGACCAGAGATCACCATGCTAAGTGAATGAAACCATCTCATGTAATCGGAAGTCTGTGTGTCTCACAGTCACTCTCAAATAAACACTCAGAGGTTTATACTAATTAGAAATGCTTGTCCAATAACTTGGGCTTATTACTAACTAGCTCTTACATTTTAAGCTAACCTATATTTCTATTTGTGCTCTGCCATATGGCAGTACTTTTATTAGCATGGCACATTCACCACCTGCTCCCTCTGTGTCTGACTGGCGACTCCTGATTCTGCCCTTCTTCTTCCTATCATCCTTAGTTTGGTCACCCAACCTATACTTCCTGACTGGAATCAGCGTTTTACTAAACCAATTCAAGTGCCAAATCTTTACAGTGTACAAGAGGATTTTCCAAAAGCAATCCCAGGGGAAAAAATAACATGTTTCTTTCATTTCTGGCTCCTAGATTTTGCATAGATTTGTAGAACCACACAGGTGGATGTGACATCAAAGTAGAGGTAAAGGCACCCAGAGGATGAAAGGGACACAGAAGAGGACAGCGGAAACGGGGGTGGGGGCAGGACTGTGTGTGTGTGTACAGAAGTCTACCTCTGAAACCCAGTACCATGAGCAGTGCATAAATGCCCCAGATAAAAAGAAAATGTAAAATCAGCACATCCTACAGCCAGTGTTTTCCTTGACTAAAGAGCATCTAAGTCACTCAGAAAACTGAGTTAAAGACCTAAGCCCGGGGCAGGTGAGATGGCTCAGCCCGAGAGACTCGCAGCCAAGTCTCAAGGCTCAGGCTGGAATTCCAAGAACCAGAAAGGAGAAAACAGAGTTGTTCAAGCTGTCCTCTGACCTCCGGAGGTATGCCTGGGGCACAGTGCCCCACAATCCCCTCCCAGCAAAAGTAAATAAAAAATGTAAAACTCCTTTTTAAATTAGGAGAGATGACTCAGTGGTTAAGAGCCCTTGCTGCTCTTGTAGACAACCTGAGTTTGGTTCCTAGCACACACAACAGCTGAGTCACAATGGCTTGTGACTCCAGTTCCAGGGGATCCAAAGCCCTCTTCTGCCCTCCACAGGCACCTGGATACATGTGCATGTACAGAGACATAAACAAAAAGTAAAATAAATGTTTCATGTATGTGTGCATGCATGCATGTATGTATGTATATATGTATACCAGAGATAATGCACACCCTTAATCCCAGCACCTGGAAGGCAGAGGCAGGTACATCTCTATGAGTTCAAGGCCAGGCAGGCCTTCACAGCAATTTCCAGGCCCGGCAGGGCTGTGTAGAAAGACTGTGTCTCAAAAGAGAAGGAGAAGGAAGAGGAAAATAAATATTTTCCTTAAAATTTTGTAAATATTTGTTTGGATTAAGTCAGACCTAAAGGGCACATATTGTTTGTTTGTCTGTCTGTCTGCTTATCTGTCTGGGATAGGATCTTATGTGTCCCATGCTGGTCTTGAACTCCCTATGTAGCCAAGCACGCCTTTGAACTTCTGATTCTGCTGCCTCCACCTTCCAATACTGGCGTTACAGGCATGCACTACCATGTTCAGTGTACCTAGTTCTGGGAATGAAGCCCAGGATTTCATGCATCTCAGGACAACGCTCTGCCAGCTTGATCACCCTGCAGGTCATTTTCCTCCTCTTAGTTACATCTCTTGGGTACTTGTTCCCATCCACTCAGCTGATCCAATGTCTCAGAGCACCTCTACTGCAATTTCCTCTGAGTTCTATTCCAGAACAGCTTCAAGACTGCTGGCTGAGATGATCCAGCCTCACAGATTATTCCAGTCAGAACTCGACCATAATCCTAAATTTTCTATGGGTACCCATAAGATTATCAGTGCTCCCAATCAGTAGGACGTAGCCTAGAAAATTATTCCCATATTCCCAAAAAATGGATTATGAATGTTTGTCTTTGTTTAGTGTGTTGGCTACAAGCTGTTATGGATAATGGTCAGGAGAAAAGGTAAACATAGGAGATTAGACTCAAGGTTCTTGTTTTGAAAGAAGAAAGGGAGACATGTATGATAGGATGAAAGGGGAGATTATAGAATTTACTCTGAAAGAAAAAAGGGAGGACATAGATATGATCTTGTTTTAAAAAGAAAAAAGGCCAGGTGGTGGTGGCACACGCCTTTAATCCCAGTATTAGGGAGGCAGAGGCAGGTGGATGTCTGTGAATTCAGGCTCAGCCTGGTTTACAGAGCGAGTTCCAGGACAGGCTCCATAGCTACAGAGAAACCCTGTCTCAAAAAACAAAGAAAAAGGAGGGAATATAGATAGGATAGGATAAAAGGGGAGATTATTGAATTTACTCTGGAAAGAAAAAGGGAGGACATAGATATAAGATAAAAAGGTAGATTATTGAATTTACTTTTAAAAAGCAACTACTAGTTTTAAATGTTTTACACTGGATTGGACTTTTGTATATTGTATACAAATTTTGTATATTGATACAAATTTGAGGTTATTTGTTAAAACATACTGTATATACATTTCTAATCTTGTTCAAGGTATTGTACCTGTACAACTCATTTAACAATGTAATGCAAATTTCTAGTCCTTGAAAATTATTATTACCAACTGTTTACAATAATAATATAGGTTAGTAGTTAATTACCCAGTATAATCAAACTTGTAGTCATATTAGATATGTTTTCAAGGTCAGATCTATATTAGATAGATAAGCCATCTCATATCCAGAGATCTATAGAATATGGCATTTAAGATGTTTTAATAGCCTAGGTTCATCTTTTTTATGACAATGAGACACATCTGCTCCTGGCAGCACCGATCTACTTCAGAGAAGATAATGGACATCAAAGAAACTCCACATGGGGTTTACTGTCTTTGTGGCTAAAAAGGCTGGAAGGGGAGCAGCAGATCACAGCCCTGACAGAGACCACACCTTAGTTTCACTTCACTAGACTGGGACAGAGCTGAGCAAGCAGGTCTCATGAAAACCACAACTTATGGGTGACCATCAGCAAGCACCCCCACAAGTCCTTCTGCTGGCTCAGCAGATGCCTCCCAGACTTCTACAGGCTAACGATAGCTTTCCCTAACCTGCTGCTGTAAATTCCCTAACCACTAGGCCCTTCCACCAATCAGCTCCCACAGTAATCTTTGCTCCACCAATCAGCTCCATACTAATCTTTCCTTCATGAATCAACCCCAGATTAATCCCTCCTCTACAAAATTCCCCTAAATCTGCTGAAAAGGAACTTCTAGGCTACTATGGGGGTGACTCTTTTGCCACCCCAATGTTGGAATCAATAAAATGCTCTTGCTATTGCATACGTGGTTGTTGGTTTTCTTTGGGGGCTTTTCTTGGACCCTAACAGTGGCAAAAGTAAGCCACTGGGCAGGAAAATGCACCTGCTTCAACTGTCCTAATTAGACAAGCAGGATACAAAATATCCTGCTTCACAGAAGTCTGTCAGATATACTAGGCCCATAGGCCGAAAATGGATGTCCCAACATTGCAGAGGAACTTGGGGTGACTGTCCAGGCAGCCAGATGTTTCTGTCATTACTCATATTTTTTGGAAGTCACCTGTTTGCACTTCCTGCTTACTCAGTTAATATTATTTTCTTCTTGGGTCTCTCAGGGAGTTAAAGACTAGATAGATTATAGTTATTGTTTATCTTGATTACCTAACACAGAAATCAGGTTATGATAGAAAGTAAATTAAGTACAAGACTTTGGACTCACCAAGATAAGATAGATATGGAGTATTTTCTCTGAATTTGTCAAATACAAATGGACTAGACATTGTTGAGGTATTTATTGCCTTATATATTGTATGTATTTATTATACTTATTGTATATAGCTTTTCTTATATTGGTTGTGGCTTTCTTTTTTATTTTAGACAGAAAGGGGAAATGTAGTAGCATTTCACTTGTATTTTAATAAATAAAACTTGCCCGAGGGTCAGAAAAGTAAAACAGCCCCACTGGTCAGCCTTATAGATCAGGCAGTAATAACACACCTTTAATCCCAGTAGCCACATTAGTTAGCCACAGAAACCAGGCGGTGCAGGCCTTTAATGCCAATGGTACACTCCTGCAATCCCAACCCTAGAGAGGATGATAAGACAGGAGGAGCCAGCTCACAGACACAGTCTCATTCTGAGATTCTTGAAGGCAGGATCGCCATTTCAGACTGAAGTCAAGGTAAGAGTCAGTGGCTGGCTGCTTTGCTTTTTGGATCTTCAGGTTGAATACCAGTTTCTCTCTCTGAGTTTTTATTCTTCATGCTTCACATGGTTGCAATGGATCATGGGAGTGAAACCCAGAGCGACGGCACCTGGGCCCCAGAGCCATGCTGGGCTGCAGCATGGATAATAAAAACCCAGAGACAGATATTGGGGTTCAAGCTGAAGATCAGAAAAGCAAAGCAGCCAGCCACTAGAGAAACCTTTAACCTCTACCAAATCTTCAGACCAAAAGGATGAGATGCTGTCTCCACGAATCCTCAGACTCCACACTCCACTGATTTCCTGTCCCTTCCCCCTTTACAATCCTCTTTCTGCCCAGCCATATCACTATCTCCACCTGGAATTAAAGGTGTGTGGCTCCCAAACACTGGGATTAAACATGTGAAACACCACCACCTGAATATGTTTCTGGAGGGTTCTCACGTAGCCCAGGATAGCCTTGAACTCACTGAGATCCCTCTGCCTCTGTCTCCAGAGTCCTTGGATTAAGGGTGTGAGCCACCACTCCCTGGTCTTTTTGGCTGACTAGTGTGGCTGCTTTGCCCTCTGATCTTCAAGCAAGTTTTACTTAGTAAAACTCAAATAATATACCACTGTCCCGGGCAGCTGAGGACTCTAGATTCTGGTCTCTGAGGACAGGTGAGGGAGGAAGTCTGGGATGAGAATTTACTACTCTGTGTGCATGAAGCTCAGCATAAGGCAACAGAGATGGGAGGGCGTGGCACTTTGGGATGAAAGGAAGCCCAATGCACAGGAAATGAAGCTGGAAAACTGGTGGGGGAAAGGAGTCAGGGCCAGGTTGTTTGCACAAGTCTTAGCCGACAGGACAGGCAAATGCGTTCCCTTTCAGCTGGGCAGTGAGACTGCTCGATGTCACCTGGGACCCTGTG